AAAACAAAACCCTGATCTGCTGCGCCTGTTGCAATCGATTTTTGTGGTTGCAGCGCTGCACTGTCAGGAGCAACAAGAAAGAGTACACTCACACTCGCAAACAAGCGGCACACTGTTCTCGTCGCCGATTTATGCGTGTTGTGTTTTTTTTAGGGGCGTTGGATAAGACGGAATGTCGGATAAGCGAAGGTCGGTTAAATGAGACTCTGCTGTATTCCATAGCTGTGAAATTCTGGCTGCTGCAGGAAAATAACTTTATTATAGAAACTGATCATTGTAGGTGAGAATACACAGCTGCTTGCTTCATGCTTACCTGAATGTACTGGGAGTACTTTCAGATTTACTCTTTTGGTTATCGTCCACTGGAGATCTAGTGTGTCTTTCTGTTTGAATTAATTGTTTGGCAATATCTTTATTAGGACCAATCAGAACAAGACAAAGGGTTTACAGACTAGTGAATTCTCCAAGCTTTTGAATTTGGCCAAAATTTACCAAAAAACCCAGGTATGATTTCAAACTACCAGGATAGAGACGAAGCAAAGTCCCAAAATTAGCCCAGAAGTTTTAACCATGACGTTTGCAGTGTGTATCACTTCAAAGTGGGTTGCAGGTGGAACTGTTAGTTGTTATTATGGATTTTGGATATTTTTTTTTGCATAATAAGCTTTTTCTTTAAAAGCTTATGATAGCTTTTAATACTTTTAAGTTTCAGAGAGAAAGGGAGAAATGGACTTGCCTAAAAAAGGCAATCAATGAGAGGATAAGTTGGATGCATACAGAGTCCCAACCTGTTTCACCAGTTGGTGAAACCAGTTTCACCTGATTTTTTTTCCTTCTCTCTAGCATATAACCCTAAATCCTAATGTGGTTTATTTGCTTTTTGGCTTGACATTTCAATAAGGGATTTATTCATTTATTTTGCAACAAACCACAAACTGTGGCTTATCGTTAGCTTTAGATTTTTTATTCTAGGTTTCTCTTTGGTTTTCAAGTCTGCCTATTTCTTCTGGAGTCTAGCAGAAAAAATGGAGGGAAAAAATAGGAATTGGCTGAACATTGTGCTTTCTCAGAAAATATTAATTCTTGCTTGCCCATAAAACAATTTCTGGCTTGATCAGCAAATCACAGCTTAATGTTACATGTGAATACAATCTCTCTGTGTTTGCCTGCTTCTATATTTGTTAGGAGAGGATTGTGAACTGGTTTTTGGCCATTGTAGAGAGTAGGTTGTAGAATCAAGTAACTTCCTTTTTCCAGGTCAGACTACTAATTCATGTATGTCACTATTTTCTCCTCTGGTGAATTCTGGTTTTTATTTATTACTAAATTTCTGTCGTGCCTTTAGGGTGCACATGCTTTGTGGGTCTTCCCTCACTTTATCCTCACAGCAATAGCAACACTGTAAGGAGGTTGGACCGCAATTCACCCAGGAAGCTCCATGGTCAAGTGGCAATTTGAACCCGGATCTCCCCAGTCACAGCCTCAGTCCACCACCTTAACACTCTATACTCTCCTGTCCCTCCACCATACTGGCTTACCAAAGAAAATATGGTAAGCATGAATGCAGAGTGTGCTCCTTCGCTCATAGAGCTGTCTACAGCCAAGGGAAAGCCTTAAGTCCTGGAGATGAACAATCTGAGCATCACATGTATCCTACAATCGCATCTCATCAGCAGTTCAGCTTGCAGAATTAGGAAGAAATAGTGCTGAGGCTGAGTGCTGAATCACAGCCCCACTAGGCTACAGAGTAATCCAATTTAGCTTTGCAAGAGAAGGCTCCATTATCCAGAGAGCAGAGAATGACGATATAGCTGCATTCCAGCAATTGGAAATTAGAGCCGACTCAGCCCAAAGAGACAAGGGGCTACAACATTTGTTCCTGACAGAGTCTATTTGTTGGAGAATTTGTTTAGCTTCTTTCTTTGTTTCTTTTAAAATATGCTAACCATTGTTTAAAAGCAAATCATGTAATAATTAAAAAAAAAATTCTTAGTTTAAGTGACTTGGTAAAGGATGGGAATGCCCTGAACCACCAGCAGGGTTTCATTATTTATGGTGTTCTTGTGGATAAAGTGGAGGATTGTGGCCAGTGGGCAAAGTCTGTTCTGAGTGGCACTCTTGGACAGTATATAATAATAATTTTTATTTACGGCCAAAAAACCCGAATAATAAAGTTCAGATATCATTTTAAAAATTGGCATAAGATAACTGTTTAACAAATAAAATAAATTGAGTTTTTAAATGTTTTATGATAAATATTATATACAGTAAAACGTTTAAAAATTCAAACTTGTTAATTTTTTAGAAATATCTTGCTTTTATAGCTGTAGTTAAAAATTGGGCTGTCACCACTGTAATTTTAGGATTTTTGTCTGAGAGTTAAATTTTAACATTGGGCTGTCACCACTGTAATTTTAGGATTTTTGTCTGAGAGTTAAATTTTAACATTGGGCTGTCACCACTGTAATTTTAGGATTTTTGTCTGAGAGTTAAATTTTAACAAATTCAGAAATGCATCTTCCTGGTCTTGATTTTCAAATAGGCCAGTTAATATCCTGCTGAAAACTCTTGTAAAACTCACAGTGCAATAAAATATGACCCACAGTTTCAAAGTCAGTCCCATTACAGGGACAGCATCTTTGAGAGTTGAGAATCTTTTGAAATCTGCTGTATAACACATTTGATGGCAACACATTTAATCTGGCTTTTTCAAAAGGCTTATCTACATTTACGTAAATGTAAACTGCTGAGGTATAGAGAGAGCTGAAAAGCATACTTGTAATTTATTCCAAAGATCAGGAGTGAACCCAGAGCTTTGAATAGTATACAGTATATAGATCTTGCCTAGATTGTCTGAGAGTTGGGGCTGTTAATGTTGTGATCAGGAATATCTGCAGAGGATGGTCAAACAAATTCAAGATGGTGGCCCTAACAGGGCAATCTAAGCTCTGCCTGGTTTTTATGTGTGTTACAACAAAAACCAGGCGGAGCTTTGATTGCCCCATTGTGGCTGCCATCTCCATCTCCATCATCTCCTCCTCCTCCCCCCCCCCTTGCAGACACCTCTGGTCAAGATGGAATCCAGAGGACCAAGTAGAATCTAGTTGTATTTAACTGAGACAGATGATCCTTCCAATTATGCTGCCTTAACCTACCCTAACTTACCCTAACCCTTAGGGTGGTTTGTGATGATGTTGTCCATGTTGTTAATATCCTATCATTCTCAGAAAGTTCAAGGCCATGTACATTGGTGAGTCTCTCTGAATAGCCATGTTATTTTGGGCTAAAAAAGAGTGGGTGGTCCAAAGCTACCCAATGATACAGGAATGGGGGAATGGGGGTGGGGAAGCTCAAAGCAAATGGCAAAACCCAGTAAGTAAATAGGTTGGTATCTTCTGCTCTGGCATTCTTGCTTTAGAATAGGCAATTCTAGGTTCTGCCTTTGAAAAATGCAGCCAGATTTTGAGGATAGGGGAGATCAAAGTCCCCGTTTATGATACATTTGGAATTGGGAGCTAGGGATAGAGTTCTGTTTTTTAAAAGGCTTTTCCCTCCTATCTCTAGAGCAGTGTTTCTCAACCTTGGCAACTTTAAGATACATGGACTTCAGCTCCCAGAATTCTGGGAGCTGGCTGGGGAATTCTGGGAGCTGAAGTCCACATATCTTAAAATTGCCAAGGTTGAGAAACACTGCTCTAGACTAATTGCAGTAACATTACTGCTGTAGTCATGAATTCCATCTGATAGGATTGTAGACATCACCTAATCCTGAGAGCTTTAAATATTCAAAAAAGTAAAATAACTGTAAAAGGCTTGCCTCTCTTGGATAGGGAGAAACACTTGTTCATAAGTGTGACATGAGCCCATGCATTCTTCTTTTCCAGGTCCAAATTATATATTTTTAGAAGCGGCATGAAAATTTGGGCAAACCTCTAAATCACTCGCAAAGGCTATGTTCTATTGAGAAGAAGAAATAGAAAAATGAAGCCTTTTGTATGATTAATGAGATTGTCAGGGGGCTAAGAAAGTATAACTTCAGATTGCTTTATGGAGATATTTGTATCTCAGAAATGCACATTTTTCTTCTTCATTTCCTTTTCTCCTTTATTACATTAGGCAAAATGAAATCAACAGAGGTGTTCAGTTGCCAAAAGAGTAGTACCCTTTTTTTCTCAGCTGGCAGCTGTACAAAGGCGAAGCGAGCTGAGAAGGGCCTATAAAATGCTGTGCTGTACAAACAGCCCTGCACTTCAACTGGGGCAAGGAGCAGGAGAGGAATTGGCACAGATAGGCTTAGAGCCTATTGGAGAGGGGAAAATGCAGGAAAAAAAGAGTATTCCGAGATTCAAAGTCCTTCATTCATCATCCTAGCCAACGTATAATTTATGAGTGCATGTGACTTGATTTGCTTTGAAACTTGATTCCAAGTTTAACTACTAGGGCTTTGGGGACAAGCAAAAGGGGGAGGTATTGGAGATACAGATAAAATAAATGGGGAAGTTGGGGTGGAACCAGTTTAGTGTGAACGCAGGGCTTGAACAGCTTCTTCTGAGCACCATTCAGAGTTCTTGGTATTGCAGAAGCCCTAAATCAGCCTGTCCCAATCTGGTATGTTGGATTTCAGCCTCTTTGATCCATCTTTTGCAGGACATCAAGTTGGGGAACAACAGGATGTTTTGAAAGACATCCTCCAAAACAAACTTGTTTCCCCTGGTGATAATTATCAAAGAGATATCGATATATCCTGTTATCAGAGCTATTCCCTAAATTGGGAGTCCTGGTATGCTCCTCCTTACATGTATTTTGATGTGATACTGATTCCCCTGCCCCCTCCCCATTTTTTTTTTCCTGCTGTGCCTTTATCTTAGGTTCTGGTATGCTTTTCTCTTCTTCCTGAGGTTTTAATAGATGCCTTCTCCTTTTTTTGCCTAATTGTTTTATAGGTTTATTTCTTTATTACCCAGTGTTTATATACTGCCAAATTTTAGATCCCTTCATACCACATAGATTGTAACTAACAGCAGTCACAGTCCACTGAATGTAGGCCCTTACATGGCCAACTCTGCAGAACAAGTTCCAGCAGACGTAAGGTTTGTGGAAACACTCATAAAGGAGTATTTTGAATAAGAAACTCTTGAGGCAAAATCTTCTCAAAACACTTTAGTGACAACTGAGCACACTCACAGGCTGAGACCCCTGAGAGTTTGCTGTGAGGGAAAAATGAAATCATTGGGGAGTTGTAAGAGGAATAGAATAGTACATCCTGAAAAAGGGCCTAGCTGAAGAGTAGCGTTTTTCTTGAAGATTCCACTGATGGTATTTGAGTTAATGATACAGGCTTTCAGGGTTGGGGTGGAGTTGGTGGGAATGGCCCAGGGGCTGAATAATAAATTCATAAGATCTTCTAAAATGGGATCTTCTCAGATAGTGGATGCTGGATGGCAGAGAAAAAAAGAACGCTTTGACTCCTCGCATGCCCTTCAAAGAGCAATTTGAATAACTTTTTTTTTTTTAATCTTTCTCCTTCAGGGAGTTGCAGAGGCTGAAATGGAGAAAGATATAAACCGAACTCTGAAGATTATGATCCGATCTATCAGGAAGGAGGTCAGTCCTCTGCATGGATGGTTTTGTCCAAAAGGGAAAGGAAGGGATCTCAGATGGTAGTGGATGCTAAAAGTCTGTAAAGAAGTACATTGGAATTGACATTTTTGGACACGTTATGCCCTCTAGTCTAGATCCATGCAAGCATGGCCAGAAATACATTTTTCAGTTGTCCAGAATAGGGATAAGGAAGAGGAACTTGGAATGCCTGATGGATTTCTGGTTCTCTGTAAGGGAACATTGGAGGTATTTGCTTCTCCATCTTCAAACCAAAAAAAACCCCAACAGCCAAAAAGCTTTACCCCTTAAATTAATCTCCTAAAATAAAAGGGTAAACCAAGAGTAGATTTTTAAAGAGAACCAGAATTTGCTCAGTTGGGGATGTGACAACAGATTCCTAGGCTTAGCACAGTGTTTCTCAACCTTGACCATTTTAAGATGCGTGGACTTCAACTCCCAGAATCCCATGCTGGGTGGGGAATTCTGGAAGTTGAAGTCCACACATCTTAAAATGGCCATGGTTGAGAAACACGGCTTAGCGTATGTGTGATGGCATCATGTCTCCATCTCCAACGGAGAGGAGTAGTGAGCTCAGGAGAATTTGACAGGATATAGGGCTAACACTGCATGGATTTTATTATTTGATTTAACTGGCACAATTTTATACCAAATACAAAATAAAAGACTTCCTGAATTAAAATCGGTTTAACCATTGAAGAAAAAAATGATCAGCCTGGCTCAATGTGTCTTTGTGGCTCATCTCTCAGATCCTTCCCTGCTCTCCTCTAAGGGTTCTCACTTGGCACATTTCATTCAAAATGCTTTCCTTACAGGATAAAATGGAGGAAACATATCTTGATATAACTGGAGTTAGGAAGCGAGGTAAGAAATTACAACCCCCATGAATTGCCAGGAATTTCAGTTCAAAAAAATTCAGAGCAAATCTCCATTTTCTGACTACATACAAGCAAGGGAGGAATTAGACAACTAGGACCCAGAACGGTCTCATCTAGATAGAATGAGAATGATAGAGAACCATTAAAACCAGGAGAGTTTGGAAAGGGTGTTGTGTGAAGAGTGTTATATCTTTCTATTCCTGAAATTCTGTTTTCCAGAATCTGTATCTTCCTCTTTCATTACAGCTGTTATCGCAGTTCAAATGCAGCCCAAACACTACCCAGCAATTTCCAAAATACAGCATATTTTATAAGTAAACCTAATGCTAGTTACAGTTTTCTCTTGCATGTTCCTTTTACCCCGGAGCTCATTGACAACTTCTGGGAGGGGCCATATCATGCAGTGAAAATCATACCTTAATTCTAAAAGGTCAGTCAGCAGAATATCTTTAGCTTGCTTGAGAAATGGTAGCTGGTCAAGTAACCAAGTATTCCATAGATGACCTGTTAACAGCACTGACTTAATTTCTTTAACTTTTGCAACATTATTGAGGTCAACAGAAGATGACCCAAAACAGCCTCATCTAGATAGAATGAGAATGACAGAGAACCATTAAAACTAGGAGAGTGCAAATGTTGTGGGGATCCAAGGCAGTAATTTGCTTTGGCATGGTATGCTGGGGGTTATATGCCCCAAAAGGTATGGACCCAGAGTAACAGTAAAATTTGATACACATTAAATTAAAATTGGATACTTCCCATGCATTTAATAATTTATCGTAGCAGTCAGGTGTGTTTGTAACCGTAGCAGTAGTAAAAACAACCACAGCCATGAAGCAGGGTTGGCCCTGGTCAGTACTTGGCTGGAAGACCTCTAGAAATCCAGAACTTTAGGCTAGACTGGGAAGTCAAAAAAACATCCAAGGAGATAATAATGGCATACCACATCCATGTTTCTGCCAAGAAAACCCTGTGGACGTGTCCATGTCTCACCAAGAATTTGACCTGAGAGCGTACTTACCTTTTATTTAAAAATTTATTCTCTTACCACACTGAAAATTGCAGTTGCCAGTGATTTCCGGACGGGTTCTAGGTGCTGCAGCCAAACCTTTGGTGGAACGCAGGTTGTGCACTCCCATTTAAGTAGTATTACTTTGCAGATACTGCCTCAGAAAAGCCTAATGTCTCAGGTTTTTTCTCTGAAGTGGAGTGCTTCATGCATTGACGTAGGTAGCAGGACAGTCTGTTCCAGTGCTATTGGAGGGCACTTGCGTTTTGGCCTCCACCTACTGCATGCAAGCCTTTCATCTGTTCTGAGGAGCCAAGCGCGTCAGCCAGCTGCGCTCTATACCTCTGCATGTAAGGCTCCGTGCCTCCATTGATACTAAACATGAAGGTTAAACAAGCGAAGGGATTTATTCTGAAAGAGCTTTCTAGCGTAGACTCGCACCATTTGCAACTGAGGCAACAGCTGCAGTATTTTTCATTACAACCTTTTCTGTGCTATAGGGGGGCTGCTGGTGGGACTTCCTGAAGATCCACCTCCAAGTTCTCTTCTTCCAGAGTCAGTCCTTCAGTACTATGTACAACAGTATCAAAAATCTGGATTCAGGTAATTCAGGTTTGGGTGTGTTTATTTCTGTTTTACTGGGGCAAGTATGCCCAACACCCATATTGTTTATGCTGAAGCAATAATTTGCTAATTTCACTGCTTGAGATAATGAATGGTGGTGGCAGCTAGCTTTAGAGTATATGTGGGCAAATTTATGGAAGATACTCTTGCCTGCAGAGGCAGAGTTCTACTAGATGTTGCTAAGGACAAACCATAGGGATTGGTAGACCATCATTCTCCACTGAGGGGGTCTCTGGCTGGCAACTGTTGAGCTGTGGAGAAGAGAGAGAAGTGGGGGAGATAAAAAGAACAGGAATGCAAAAGCTTTCATAAAATTATTTCAGCCAATGTCTTTCAAACTCAATGACAGCTGGTTTTTATCCACTCAAAGGATAACTAAAACTGACTGTGGGCCAGTACCACCTTGTTTAAATGTATCTTTTGATCTCCTTCCTCTTTATTGTTGGTCATGACCTCCTTTCCCCTCTTCTCTGGCTATCACTTCCTTGAAGCAGGAAGCCGACCCAACCAGGTGTTTATAATGCAGTGCAGGATTTCATGTTCTGTTGGGGGATGAGTGGTGAGAGGAGAGCTAGGAAATGGCAGGCAGCAACTGCCAGAAGAGTTTTCTTTGCTCCAAGTGTCAGCCCAGAAAAAAATCACAAAGGTGTCCCTCCAGTGTTACTGACTATGAGGTGATGGAAAAGTTCCTTAACTCTATGTGTTTGTATTGGGAGGGCTCAGTATTCGGTGTAGACGCTTGGAGTTTGGACGTGGCCCAGAAAAGGGTACACTAAGTCCTGCTTTCTTCTTTTTCTGCCTCTTTCAGGGGCCCACTGAACTGGTACCGAAACATGGAAAGAAACTGGTCTTGGAATGCTTCTTCCCACGGCAGAAAGGTGAGGGTTGAAGGGAACATCAAACAGCCCTGGCCCTTCAGGAAGGAAGCTCGCATAATTGTTGTTGTTCTTCTTCTTTTTTTTTGCATGGGACGAAGCTCAGTAACTTCCCACAAAAGCTTCTAACTCTGATATTGATCCCATCCCCTCTCCCCTGAAAGAGTTAATCATGGCCAATATTAGCTGATCTCGAGTAGAGTCAGATGTGGTTAATACAGGGATGAGGGAACACCAGGAAATCTCAGGACAATACTATAGGCTAGGAAGGAGAAACAAAAATCAGAAGGTGGTAATTACAAATCAGTTCCATATTATTGCCAAGAAAACTATAAAGACATATCTAAAAATCTAGCTCAGTTCAAGGGGTACATTGACATTCCCTCAAAGATCAGAAGTGAAAGGCTGCTGATAGAAATGAGCAAAGCTGAAACAAAAAATTGGATCTGGCCATCTCACACTGGTCTTTTTTGTTCACATACAAATACTGCCCCACCTATTCACACAAACATGTAGACATTAATACATATTCCTGTGATTTATATTGGGGGAAAAATCTATTCATTCCAATTAAGTTTTTTGGAGTTTTTTTTCCTCCAGTGCATACTCTAGGGCAGTGTTGTCCAAACTTGGCCATTTTAAGATGAGTGGACTTCAACTCCCAGAAT